AAAATCGGTCGGTATTTTATGCATCAAATGCATAAAATACAAATATTTAATGCGTAATAACGCGCCTTATTATATTTAATCTACATAACCATATGTATGCTAATTAAATTATCATGAATTAAATGTAGTATCAGTGAATGCGTATGAAAATAGAATATTATACCTCGTTACGAACCACACGATAAGTACAAGAATCTGAGTTTCTATAGCCGGCAGCGCTCGTAGCAGAGTGGGTAAGGTACAGGACTGATGTGCAGGAGGTCGAGGGTTCAAATCTCTTTGTTGGAAATTTTTTTTTTTTTTTTTTTTTTAGAATTGTAAAAGAAAAAAATTCAATCATCACTTTTTTATGATTTGTTATGAATTGCTTATTTTATTGCATTTTTTATAAACATTAGCAGGAAGACCAAAAAATCTGGTACTATTGCAGGCGCATCAATAATCTTGGAATTGCTATAGGTAAACTGTTTTACTTTCAATTTGCAATTTGTTGAAATACGTTTTTGCTTTATACATTCCTACAAGTACTAGCTTGGTTGGTCTTTTTTAGCTATTTACGCACCTAGTAAGAGACAAAAAATTTTTGTTTTCAGCAGTGCAAAAGTTACTGTTGGCTCAAAACTTGTTCAGAACACTAATTAGTTACTGCACCGCCGTTTTTAAGTAAATAGGCAGTGACGTTTTAAATTGCAGCACCAAGCAAATAGACTGTTAATATAGCCACAAATGAATTGGATTACTATGAGAAAGTATACGATGTATAAATATGGATCATTCTACCAAAGACGACATATTTAATGTTCCAGTCGATCACGTCGTTTAAGAAGATATCGATCTGGAAACTTTTTTAATTATTCAATGAGTTTTTACTTCTGCAGGTATAGCAAAATTCAGTCTATCAAAAAATATTATTTTAGTTTGAGATGGATAGAAGAGGCTACATTAGTATTACGGGCTCGTGTCTCAATCGTAAATTTAACGTTTTGACGAAACCTGGAATCCAAATACTGAGTTTTTATTTTTCTGTGACATGAGATTTTACAGCTGTTAACGTAAGCAACACTTTCACGTATTTTATACAGCCAAAAAAAAATGTATTCAAGACTTGGATGCTGTTAAGGTTGCGGGACAGATACCTTATAAATTTAACGTTTCAAAGGAAAATACCCTCACAAATGCACATAATTGAATTTGGGCATTTGAATTACGGCATTTTGTATTCAACAAAAATCGAGGATGTTGCAGGAATTTTTCCAATTTTTCCATTTCAATAAGCCAGTGGTACAGTCTCATGAATTTGATGATTTTGTTTCCCCAAAATAAAAAGTAACAGCCCGTAACACTAGAGAACCTCAGGTGAGTTTTCGAAGCGGTTGGTTATTGACTCGAAAGGCGTTGGGTTAAAATGTAGTTATTTTGTACATAATATCAGAGCACTGAGCCAACGTTGCTCTATTAGGGTTTTAGTTATGTAGTCACGATTCTTTTTTAGATAGATATACCCAAATACATCAAACTCGCACTACTTTTTAATTTAGATTAAAGTTAGTTGTTATACGGAGTAGCTGTAGCTAACAGAGTATTATATTACACCACATGTTAATAATGAGATGTCTTAGAAAATGAATGACAGTGGAGTCATCTCCTACGGATTTCCTAAAGTTTGAATACAAAGTACTAATTTGCTATCTTCAAAGATTTATTGTCATGTCACTGAAGCCTTTTTGTTTGTTTCAAGATTGGTTAAGACTGGTCACATTGTTTTCAAAAAATTAAATTCATAAATTGTTGCAATATAATGTTAAAATAATATAGAGGTATTAATATGTTTTTGTTGTTTAGTAGTTAAGAAACAACTAAACAATAAATTAACTCATTTAAAATTGGTACGATATTAAATTATTCCCCAAAAATAGTTGTCATTCCATAATGTCTTTAATATACGTTTACATTTATAAATAAAAAACTTGACTACTTACTAATTAAACTGTAAAATGTGAAAATATTTATGTTATTCTGAGAAAAGTGTCAGTAACAAAGAACGCGCGAAGCACATTTAACATAACTAGTATGCCTTAAGCAAGATAACTTACAGAAACGTTTCCAGAAAATAACATTTTACGGTGGGTACATACATTATGCTGGATAGTAATTGTTATATAGTTTAAAGGGGTAGGGCTTGCATACCGTGCAATCAGTGCTGTAACTGCATCAATTCCTTTTTTTTTTTTTTTACAGGGTTTTAAAATCATTTACTAGATTCATACAGATGATTTCATGAAAATATAGCATTTTGCTTTGACGTCAGCTGACTGTACTAATGAAATATGAAAATAAATTGTACAATTGGCTACATGTACTAACTTGAAAGTGATGGAAGAAACAGCATCTCACTACAATATCTAGAAAAACTTTTTCCACAGCATTTCTGATTGTCCGCTCAAAATCACATGAGCATTCGCGGGGTTGGAAAGTTAAGAAGTGGATCTTCACAAAACGAAGCACCTTCTTGTAGCACTCCTCAGCTTTATGTGACATGATGCAGAAAAATATCGGAATGACACGAAATTGATCATTTGTTATTAATGAATATAATTTAAAGCAAACATTTTCGTATGTTTTTAATATGTTAATTGACGAAAGTTTTGAAGGACAGTGACGAATGAAATAAATAAATAACTAGTTTTCAGAACAATACTATTTTGACTTTGCTTTGTGTATCATAGGATGTTTTGAAAGGACTGCCAACCTGCAGTTGAAATGTCATCTAATTTTACCCTCAAACGGTCGAGAGAGTAGCAAGAGTCCGCCTCTGCTACCATACGGTCCTTCACGAGCGTGGTTAAATTTTGGTTTCAGACATCTCACGCTGGCTTTCCGCGTGTATAAGCGTTTTCTTTTGAAATAAAAATAAGTGTTCAATATCTATTTTATTTTTCTAATTTCTTCTTTTCCTTTTCGGCGCGGGCGTAAGCTCTAACACGCAAGCCATAACTCGCTACAGTAGTGGTACTTGTAGAATACGGGGTAGTAATTAAACAAACGTGCATACCATTACTCGCAATAGTATTGGTACCTCAGGACTCGTGGGAATTAAATAATCTATTGAATTGTGCGGAAAAACTAGAACGAATACCATTAATCGTGGCAGTATTCGTAGATTCTAGTCGGGTCACGAGTTAAAATTCCATCGGCCCCAAATACGTAACCCCTATAGAAATGATACCTTTACTCGTAACTGTACTGGTACTTTCTAGATCGCAAACGGGACACTATTCGGTACACCGCTTCGGGTAAAATCGACAAACTTTAGGCGCACCGCGAGAGAATGCATCGGGATACTGCATAGCAGTCGCTTCGAGTCGTATTACAACTGTCATAGCCCCTTTGCAAATATTGTATCCAGGAAAAATAACTCAAATGAAATTTTTTGAGGCCATCTCGTTTAAAAAATGTACCACTGTACTAGAAAGGGCATTGAGTTATTGGCTTCTTTCTGAAAGACTAAGTTCACGAAGTCAACATTTGTGAAAGTGGAAAATGCATTACTTTTCTTTTAAAGTAGAAAAAACATAATTTTATTACTTTAATACGTATAAATATCACATTCTATTACTTCTACTCTGAAAATTTCGTCTTTCTACCGTCCTCATGTAATATTTTGGTTTAGCGTGTCTGTCACAAGCTACAGTCTCCATAAAAAGTTATTAAAAACATTTTTTATAACAATTAGCCACCAAGTTTGTTTAATGTAGTATAAAGTTTACTATAAAAAACGATAAAATAATCCTACTGAAACGTACTTTTGTAAAAGGTTTTTGGCAGTTATACTGAAACAACCAGGCAACCAATTTGTCGCTTTAGAGAGTTTTATCAGTTACAGAATCAACAATTAGAAATTGATGAAAGTTTACTTACAAATTAATAAAGTCAAGATAATGGCACTGTCAAAATTTGAAGGCACGAGGGTTCCCAGAAGCCGAGTAATTAATATTCATATGTAGCTGATTTTTATAATTAGGCTTATAGACTGTCATTTTTTTAAGCACTTCTATTGTATTTACCTTGCTTATTAACAATGCACTTAAGATAAAAACTTTATCAATGATATAAAAATATCTAGTGATCGTACTCAATTTTATTGAACGTTGCGAGAGTACTAGTGAGAGAAGAAATTAGTCAATAAGCAAGGTAAAATCCACAAAAGGTTATGTTGCCACGGAAGAGCGAAAAAGACCGACGACATACCAAACTATAGACAGCGTCTCATGGACTATAGCAAGGGATTTTACCTCCTTAAAATACACGTTTTCAGGTCTGATTTTGTGGAAACATCAAGGTCCCAACAAAAGCGATGTAATAAAATAAGAATTTTTTATATCGGCATTAAGTCTACTATTACCAATTTCTGTCCTGCGTGCTCCATCTTCACCATTATTGTCAACATCTGGTATGCTCCCTTCAGGTTGGGCACAACCTTGAATGTTGCATCAGTATATATGATATCTGTGTATGCGAGGTAACTGCTGAAAAATTCATGATCGAACATGATCGAAGAAGTAAACATTTGTAGTCAAAAGCTTTTTATTTTTTGTAATAACGTTAAACTCCTATAAGTTAACTGTTATTTTATACTGTCTTTCGGGTCCATATATAAACTGTTCTGGCTTGGATATCATGACATTACCACAACCTGACAATGTTTTCGTTGTATCTCTAACGTTTGTCGAGTTAACATTTTTTTTTATGGACCTTTGAATTCTCCTTCTTACACTGACATATATTATGATACTGCGGAAGCAATGGTTGGACATCTGAAAATTAACATCAGAAATAATTTTTTTAATGTTAATGACAAGTTGTGGGGTGTACATTGCTAATTATACAGTTTACTGTTCAATGTACGTAGTCCTTATGTAAATATTTTGTTTGTCAAAAAATCCTTAAAAAATACCTTTGAATTAAACAAAAAAGTTAGGTAAGTTTGATATGTTGAATCAACATTTTTTGAGGAATTTTGGAAGCCGTTATATACTACCAATGAATAGTCTTCTTCATAATGAATTTACAGCCTTACAAAGTTCTGGAATCAAAGCATAAGAACGGTTAATTTTTTCTTTTATTTTTGGCTCATCATACTTTCTTCGTGACACTTGTTGAATAATACTTCCTAGTACTTGTACTTCAACAAAATCAAATTAATTAATGTTGACTTTTGTCTGGTACTTTATGCACCATCAAAAACATTAATGCCTTGCTATGTTGTGAGTACATGGAAATATTAGGATATTATTTTAATCTATTTAACGTTAGGTTTATGAACAGTAGCAGTAAAAAATCAATATTTATTTAGTTTGATATTGTTCAAATGTGAGTACTGCACCGTATTATACACTGAGAGAAAAAAATAATAAAAATTATTGATACATTCCAGAAAAATTACCATTGTGAACCGTCAATCGAATACAAGTAAGCAAACAAGGGGCAAGTTATAATTTTTGGCAGTACATAAACTAAACTACAATTTTTATTTTCAAAACAATAATCTTAACTGTTATAAATAATCATTTTTTCCTTTTTTGCCAGGTTGCATCCGATTTACTGTGCAGAATGTTAATTTATGCTAGAATTTCTCTAATTTTTTTTACTTTTTTCTCTCAGTGTAGGGATGAGTGTCATGTAAAAAGTCTGCTAAGCCAAAAAAAAATTTGATCGTTCTTATGCTTTGATTCCAGAACTTTGTAAAGCTATAAATTCACTATGAAGAAGACTATTTATTAGTCGTAAATAGCGGCTTTCGAAATTAGGTAAAAATATTTATTCAACACATCAAACCTTATACCTAACTTTTTGATATTTTCAAAAAGGTTTTTTTATGAGGATATCGTAACTTTTAAGGAAAATACCATTTTGTATATTTATTCAAAAAATGTTAATTAAATCATGTACTGCTCGCACTACGGAGTACTTAATATAAACAAGTTATGTACATTACAGATACGGTGTTCTACTATAGTCCCTTCATATTTCTACTAAAAGTTACTTATATAAAGGTGTTTAGAGTATTTTAATATATCAAGAGTTATTTTGTATCTAAGCGATTCTCGCAACAGAAAATTACTTTTTTCTGATTACCGCAACAGCCTATTGGCTTTGTCACCGGGACCACCCACTCACCAGCTATGCGTGGGGGTGTTTTGCCCACCTATTTGCGTTTTACAGGCAGTTTGGAAAATTTTTTGTCATTGCACCATAACTCCAACCTGGGAGGGATTTGAAATAGAGGGATGTGTTAAAACGTGAAAAAAAAATCGTTAAGTAACCAATTAGGTTTCCAATAGACAATGTTTACTTTACCAAAGGGCACATTTTATTTATGGATATTACTAAAGAATAAGTAGATTTTTAATCACTGATGCTAGCTCACCTAAGGTAATATTTGATTAATAATCATGACTAAAAAAACAGTTGGGGTTCTAATCGCCGATGCTTGTTCTCCTAACGACATTTTCTTATTATACAATACCAAAAAATAGCTATAGCTTCTAATATAAAATACCTATAGGTTTCTAATCGCTCATGCTTGCACACCTAAGAAAGAGATTTATTAATGAATAATGCTTAAACACGGTTGTCAAAATGTTTTCTGTTTTCGATTAAATATTTAGAAATATTTGTATTGATACTGCAATAAACAAATATGTAAATAATTTTTTCAATGTAATAAATCGAACTTTAAGCTCGAATTTCTCATAAACTGCCGAGCAGAAATGGATGACCGTATTTTTTGTGTTATCTACAAAAAAAATGAATTTTCCATTAAGTTCCGACGGGTTTCGTCACGATTTTTTTTTTCTTTTTAAAAAAATCAATACGCTTAAGCTGCCTGTAGATTTCGGATGACGATTTGTTGGAACATTAGTTGGTCGGTGTATTAAAATACTACAGCATTTTTATTATGTTATTTAACGATTTTTTTCACGTTTTAACGCCCCCCTCTACCTCCAATCTCTCCCATTTTGGGGTTACGGTGCAATGACAAACAGTTTCCGAACTGCCTGTAGAACTTAAATACCAAGCGTCATCCGATTTGTTTCTCGACAATTAAATTGTACGTCATTACTCTGAATAGTAAAAGTGATGCACAAGTTACTTAAACCATTGTTTTTATCGGTGCATAATTATTAACTACAAAAATTGCTGAGTTCAATAAGGCTTAGGTTGATTGTAAGATATTGTTTTGTTGAATACTACAGAAATCACCACATGCATGTCTTATATGACACAAGATCAGAATAATACAAATCACAGTTACGCTTTAATCATCTATCATGTCATTTTACTCCTTCAGCTTCAAACTAAGTCACTAAATGTGGGCCAGGTTAATTATTAAAAATAGTAAAATAAAGTAGTAATACTTTTTTTGTAATTAAATTTTTCAATTAAAGTAGGTTACTTTGCTAGATTATTGAATGGACCTAGTTGTTAAATATTATAGAAAATTTTTGTATTCTTTGGATTATTGATTGTTTATCATCTATAATTTATTTTTATCATGAAAATAAAAATCTACAGTTTATTTGTGTTTACCAACTAAGACAATGGTTTCTGTAAACTGCCTCATATAAAGTAAATATTACAAAAGAGATTTTATTTTTGTTATTTTTGAGCTATTGCATACAGCTGTAATATAATTAAACTATGATTCAATAGAAATTATTCAAAAACATTCCGAACTGTCACATTTGTAAATCAAAACTGTTGAGAATCGCGAGAAAAATGACTGATAGCGTATTAAACAGTATTCTTGAAATTCAAATTCAGTATGACGACAATTAGATGCTTCTATAGCTATGCCTTTCTAATGTTGAGTTATGAAAACAATTTTTTTGGGAATACTTCTTATGTAACTCATCATGACTTAGCAACATGATTGCAAATTCAGTCTACAATTATTAGCTATAACCAAATTCATACAATTATGATTTGACCCATTAATAACTGCATAAGCAAGCCAATGAATTGCAGTTAAACCGCATGTACAATTTATCAAAGTAATGGAATACTATTTATGTACGTTACGTACTGTGAACTAAATCATTTTGACTTAAATAACTTCAATGATTAAACAAACTCTTACTCCAACATCGACGTTTTCCACACTTGTTTTGGAGTGATATTAAAAACACCACAGTTGGATAAAAGATTGTTTCTAAATTTTTTTTTATCTAACAACAGTGGTTCCGCTGGATGGATATGGTTTTTATTTGATGGTGCATAGATTCCTCGTTTAAATTCGCCATGGGCCTTACATCTTTATTGAATGCACCGTAAGTATCTGCAAAAAAAAGAGTTTCATAAATGTCCACAAAAAATTGATCATCAAAATGCAAAGCAGTTAAGTCTCTTTTGTTTAATGATCGTAGTATTATTTATGTAGTAGTGTGAAGTTTAGTTTGATGAATTCAATTTTTAAAAATCGGTGCTTAATATTTTCGTGATGTCAGCACACAAATATTGAAAAATAGTTAATATATTTCACTACTNAGTCTCTTTTGTTTAATGATCGTAGTATTATTTATGTAGTAGTGTGAAGTTTAGTTTGATGAATTCAATTTTTAAAAATCGGTGCTTAATATTTTCGTGATGTCAGCACACAAATATTGAAAAATAGTTAATATATTTCACTACTTTTAGAAAAGATATTAATTTGAATGATAGAAACATTAACAACTAAGATAAATACTTGGTAGATCATATAAAATTTTATGTGCGTATTCGTATGCTCGCATGTGTGTGATCTCAAAGACTTTTCTACTGATGTCAATGATTCAGGACTCAGGATTACTTTTTCATATTGGTACAATGTCTTGCAAAAAAAAATTGTCATACCTTTTTAAGGTTGTCGTACCTCTTGACGATTTCTTGATAGTTTAAGTAGATTGATGTATTATTCAGGTGAAAAAAATATTCCTATATGTATATTAATTGTACTTAGTAAGAAATTCAAACAATTACATTTTTTCTAACATCTTCATACGTTATACAGTTTCATTTTTTACAATAAAACAATTTTTTTCTTTCGACTCATGCATTCAAGTTTAGTATTTTATTAAGATTAATTAAAAAATTCCTTAATTTGTAATTATAATTAAATTCTTAACAAAATCTTATTTCATACAACATGAACAGTAGCAGTAAAAAATCAATATTTATTTAGTTTGATATTGTTCAAATGTGAGTACTGCACCGTATTATACACTGAGAGAAAAAAATAATAAAAATTATTGATACATTCCAGAAAAATTACCATTGTGAACCGTCAATCGAATACAAGTAAGCAAACAAGGGGCAAGTTATAATTTTTGGCAGTACATAAACTAAACTACAATTTTTATTTTCAAAACAATAATCTTAACTGTTATAAATAATCATTTTTTCCTTTTTTGCCAGGTTGCATCCGATTTACTGTGCAGAATGTTAATTTATGCTAGAATTTCTCTAATTTTTTTTACTTTTTTCTCTCAGTGTAGGGATGAGTGTCATGTAAAAAGTCTGCTAAGCCAAAAAAAAATTTGATCGTTCTTATGCTTTGATTCCAGAACTTTGTAAAGCTATAAATTCACTATGAAGAAGACTATTTATTAGTCGTAAATAGCGGCTTTCGANAAAAGAGCTTTTTTAAATCAAGAGGAAAAAAAGGGTCTCTTTAAATAAAATTTTTTTTCCTTTAACTTCAAGTTGGCGATATAAGTATGTCTGTATAAATGCATGAATTAATTAAGCATTACTTAATAACATTGTGATAAATCTC